GGAGGGGGGAGGAGGGAGGAGGGGACGGGTATTTGTATACACAAGGAGTGCAATGCGCACTACCCGAAGGATGGACATATTTGAAACACGGACTTCGGTGGGGGGGGAACCAAGGGCAACACACGTAACCTAAACATATATACACCCATAATTTGATGAAATAAATTAAAAAAAAAAAAAAAAAAAAAAACTACATAACGTATGATTCCCAAACAGGCAAAACTAATTCACAGTGGATAAAATTAGAACAGTAATTGCCTCATAGCAGAGGGTTAGATAATAGGGGTAGAGGGTAAATGGTGGTGTAAATAAATTATAAAGAAGCAAGACATAACTTTCTGGGATGATGGCAATGTCCTATATCTTGAAAGGAGTTTGGCTTAAATAGGTGTACACATGGTTAAAACTCAGCAAATGTGCACTCATGGGATATGCATTTCATTTCTGTAAATTTTACCTCAAAAGAAAAATCTATAAACAGATATTAAATTCCAGTTGATATGCATATTGAAGTATTTCACAGAAAATGTACCAATATATGCAATATACTTTGAAATGTATTAAAACAATAAGATAACTAATAAAGAAATGAAAGGATAGAGGGACAGAAATAAAATGTTAATGGTAGAATCTAGGTGGAAGTATATGGGTTGTTCACTATAGAAATTTGAGAAGGAATTTTAAGTTTTCTTATATCTTCTGATAATATTAAGTAGCAATCTTGGCTTTTACATTCATGAAATTCACCATTAAGAAATTCTTGATTCTCAGTTAACCAATGACCAATTACCATTTGATCTTCAGTGAATTTGCTGGTAACACAAAGATATGTTAATTGAAGGAAAGAGAAGTTTAATAAAGTGATTTAAAAACATATAGTGTTAGTTGTAGTTCTTCAGAAAATGAAGATTACATTTGAGATAAACCTTTTGCCTTTACCAAGTTTTCTGAACCACCCAAGCCCATCTGGCAATAGTTTTTCTTCTTTGAAATTTCTTTCTACCACTTGGGGACGTTTCATGTTCAGCATCACGGAAAAACAAATCTACTATGCTTCATTGCATATCAGAGTAACCAATGTTTTTTTTTAAGTTATCATTTGAAAAAATTGGAAACTATTTCCATAATTAAATGGTTATGAGAAAACCTCATAATGTTCAGAGGCTATGACAGTTTAAGCAAAATAAAGGAAAAACATTAACTAGCTTTTCTAAGCCATCAAAATGGTTTGGATTTGGTCCCAATTTTGGGTGAAGATCAGCAAAACCCATTTATCTGGTGGAAATTTTTTAAAAATACATATTTATTAAATATTTATTACACTCCAAGAACAACATCTAAGAAAAAAAGATTACCATTAACAAGAACTTTTGTAGATTAAACAGGCACCTCCAAAGCTGGTTTCAACTCTGAGAAACAAACCAGGGCACAACCAACATTAAAAAGATAAGGAAGCTCTAAGATCAAAGAAGTCAGAGGACTTCAGGGTCTTTGTTTACAAATATATTCAAAAAAGATTTGCCTAAAAAGATTTAAATAGTCCCTAAGAGAATCAGCATGTAATTACATCTACCTCTGAGAAAATATTAATATATAACACTTAAGTGAAACGGACAAATTATACAATAATGTAAACCCTAAAACAAACTAAAGGAGAAATAGAGAAATTAAAATATTCCTATAGTCACTGAAGAAAGCAAATCATTAAAAAAAAACCACACACAAAGAAAACACCAAGCCCCAATAGTTTAACAGGAGACAAAACAAAAAGAATAAACCTTGCCCCCAGTTCGTTTTATGAAGTTAATACCACCTTAATGTCAAAGCCAGACAAAATCAATATTAAAAAGGGTAATTACAGATCAATTTCATTCATAATAATAAATGTAAAATGCACTAAATCAAATATTGCCAAATTAAAAAGTTTGTTTTATGAACACATGGTTAGTTTAACACCAGAAAAATCTGTCAATTTAATTTACTAAAAACTGAAGGAGAAAATGGTATAATTATCTCAACAAATGCAGAAAAAACATTCAGTAAGATTCAATGAGAATTCATGAAAAAAACTATTAGTAAGCCACAAATAGAAAAAAACAACCTGCACTTTATAAAGAATGTCTATAAGAAACCCACAGCAAACATCATGCTCAATGATGAAACATTAAAATAATTTTCTGTAAAATCAGTAACACTGCAAAAATGTTATTTCCATTTCCAATATTTACTGGATGTTCTAGCCAATGTGTATGAACCTACAAACCAGACATACAAACACACACAATATATAAGCAAATTTATAAGAAAGAAATAAAATGCCACTATTTT